CAAACGGCTGACAGACAAAGTTAGTCACAAGCTGAGGTGAACATATTGGAGCATTTAGCAGCATAAGAAGATATCTTCCCCTGGAGTCGGTGGAGACAGAAACAGAGCTAAAAGGAGAGTGAATATTAGTCATGTGTTCAGCAGGTGGTTAGAATAAGGACTCCAAATGAAAGCTTATTTTGGTGTCTGTCTGCTCAATATGTATATAAAAAATTGTTTGCTAAGATTGTGTACGATTACAACTTCATAAGTGGATCACATGTCAATAATGTGTTTACTGCTTGTTGTGCTGCCGCCATTGTCCTAAAAAAGAAGAGAAGAATGCAGATTTAAGGCCTTTATATAAAAATGATGAGAAAGCTTTAGTGTTGATATCAGATTATGATCTATGAACTCTTTTACTGGCACACTGCTGCCTTTTAAAGCACATTTCTGCCACCAATGTCTGTGTGTGGAATTGCATGAAACTGAGCGATGTCACATGGCCCCTTTCAAACACCAAAAACGCCAAAATGCCAAAATATGTACATATCAAAGTGAAATACCGGCCTTGCTAGCATATGATGACATGTTTCCAAATACAGCAAGAAGCAGTAGAAATACAACTTAAATTTGCCGTTTTAGCAGACCTAAAAATAACATAAATATTTTAGGATCAAAGCATCCCATCACACTTTTGCAGTACCATCTCTGCACGCTGCAAAAATGAGTATCAGGTCACCAAAAAACATGTACATGTGACCAAAAAACGTTTTTCAGGCTTACTTTCGCTTCCACAGTTGTAGACATATCTTTAGAGACATACCTTCTGTGGCTGAGCAGGCCGACTTTGTTCTTGCTTCTTGAATGGCAGGAAAATAATGCACTTTTTTTTCATTGGACCTAAACACAAAGAATCATGTCTGAGTGACATGCAGAAAAATGTATTGCAACGATTGTGTATTGGGAAAAACTTTTTTGGATATGTGTTTGTGTGTGGGGGACGCTGCCCCTCAGCGTGTTGTGTATGTCCCTGGCTGGATACTGGCCTGAGGGCAAATATTGGCTGCTATGTGTGACTTTATTGGGAAAATTAGTGTAAGTGATGTGGTGGGGAGCATGTGGGCTTGGGGGGATTGTTCAGAGTGGGGGTGGATTACTGACAAGGGAATTTACTTACTGGCCCTCCAGAGACGTTCCTCAGTTACGTTGCGGCTAATCGTTGCAGTAAATCATGACATTATACATCCACACAGCTAAAATTATCCTGTGAAGGTCAGGCAGAAATTGTGACCGGGGTTTGGCTGCATTCTGACAAAGTGCTAGCAATCCAGAAGCAGACAAACATCCAGATAAACATAGTTCTATCACTCTGGCAGCTTCGCACAGCTCCCTGACAATGTCCAAACATTGCAATTTCAATTTGCACGCCCTGAATCATTACACAAAATGCAGGTATTTTAGGTAGGCTGAAATTGTTTTATTATTTTTAACACAGTAATTGCAAGGCAAATGGTCTTAATTGTAACCCCAGCCTCTGAAATAAACAAGGCTGAAAAACGAAAGTGGTGATTATGGTTTCCCTGGGCCTGATGTGGGATTTGTGAAGCTGCTGCCAACTGCGTTTTCATGTCACTGTTTCAAGTTCCTGCCCAATATAGACACACTGAATCACTCATCAGAACACATGCCTTAATGGAGGACAGTTCGACGGCTCTGTCCAGCACAGGAGAGATACAGAATGGATTATCCACCCCCATCATTCCTCCCTCAATGGAATGTTCCATAGGCTCTACCCTCCACAATTACCCCTGCCCCTGTGATGGATGGTGGAAAAACTGGATTTGACAAATACTATCTATCAGCGCTTCTTTTTCCCAGATAACAGTTAAATAGTTATGGTGCAACCAGAAGAAATGTACAAATGTCAGAATAACATACAGGAAGGATTTCAATGCCTCAATTTGAATAATGCTAAATGTCTGCGATATCGGTGCCAGAGCTCAGTTGGAGGCCAAAGCCAGCAGCATGGGAAATCTGCTTCTCCTGATTTACAATAAGCTTCCTCCTTAGCAGATGCTCCTATCACCTCATATTTTTATCTTGAAAGATTAGACTACATTGGATGATGTGAGCATGAACATGAATGAGCATGATTTGAGCACCTTGGTGAATTGGTGAATGCATTGGTGTGTTAATGGCTACTAGACTGAGATCCTAATTTGCCAGTCGAGTCTGCGCTGTGGCAGCGTGGACTGTAGGGCAGAAGTGAGAGTGTGACCTTTTTTTGCATAGACTTGATTCTTGCTGCCTCAGCTTGGCGTTCTCTCCTTGGATGCCCCTGCCAGGCGCTCGCTATGGCCATTTTGCTACCATGCCAGTGTTGTGCTTGGCCAGATCTAGGAAGAACTGAAGTGTTGGCAGCACGAAAATCTTCAAGCACACACACACACACACACACACACACACACACACACACACACACACACACACACACACACAACACACACACACACACACACACACACACACACAGGTGTACTGATTTTGGATTCAAGTTTAATATGACTGTTTTAGGTTGTTTATAAATGATTTGCTGATATGTAGCACACACAACATTTTCATGGTACCGCTTTCTAATTAAGAATACTTAAGCAGAGCTCTGTCCAAAGTATAAAAAATCACCTACCAGCACCTTAAGCTCACTAAGTAACATGTTGCATCTTGTTTGTTTAATCTGTACACAGACAGTGTGGTTTTACAGGGCTTTACACGCTAAAACTAGGCTGTTTCTTTGTCCAAACTCACTCCGCTCGTTCACCACTTCCTATTTACAACACTCGATAGTTTACTCAATATTGAGCAGTTAATTGTGATTTCACACTTACTAATCATCATCATTTTGCATCATCACTAACAGCTATAGAGACGTGCAACTCTAATTCTGCAGATCTAACCAGATCAGGAGCACCTGAGCCAAGTGCTCTACAGAAAATAAAAAAACCTCGCTGTACTCGCTGTGTTCTTATCATGACCTATGAGCTGGGTTATGAGAAAACAGGGGCTTGCCTGTTTTGCAACTGTTTGTCGACTGTATGTCAAGGAATCTAGTTGAAACATTTAATTAGATTTGTTGAAAGTAGGTTTTGTAGCTCTGGGCTTTAGTAACCATTTGCGTGTTTTGATGTGTTTGGCTGTCAAAGTCCAGTTAGTTTGGTGCGTTGCAGCTCAATTAAAATCCTAAAAATGGACCTTTGAACGTATCCTATGTTGTTATTATGTTGGTTTGGCAGTAGTGTTTCCTTCAGCATATGTTTTCTGAGTTGATGTGCGGTGTCAGCACATCCCAGTTCCTTTGTTTGCTTTGGTGGTAAGCATTTGTTTGCTCATTCATGAATGTATGTTGTGACTGAGGGAAAGTGCACTGTGCATTTTGCCTGTCTGAACAGGGTAAGTAGGATGATTCGTGTGGAGTTTTGTGCATGCCTGTTTTGAATAAATTTGTAGGTGGGTTTTCTTACCTCAGGCTTGGTGGGGGAAATTTTAGTCCAGTCGTTGTTGCTGGTACATTTGGGCCAGGTGACGGCTGTTGGTCCTCACAGGTATATTATTTATACAGTGGTGCAGAGTCACCTGCAATGGTGTTTGGGTTTGTTGAGCTGATCTTGTGTAGTGTACGTGACTAAAGCTTTGCTTGAAAGCACCGTCAGAGATATCCTTTTTGGTTTGGCAACATTCTACTCACACTGATTGTATAGAGCATGACACTGAAATCGGAGATGCACAGCCAATTAAACAGCTGATGTCACCAGAGAAACTCATCTAAACTTGCTTGCATTCTTGAAAATAACATTGCTGTGCCGCCATTGTCTAGTTGGGTCTCCCCTTGCATTTTGGTAACAAAATGCCTAGATCTGTACAGATTTGAAAAGTGAATTTGTTCACGAAACCAGCAAAAGGTAGCGTGCATGCCATGGACACTACTTTTTTTGTTTTATTGTGGAATTTTTGAGGACACTGTAGACAGGTTTCTGTGCAACGAGATGCGCTCGCAACCAGAAGGCAGAAAGCAGCTCTGTCTGCGGCACATCAGTTTATAAGGCATATCTAGCAGCACTTTACTTATTACTGGGTATTAAAAGTAAATAGTCACATTATTCGTTCCATTACAATTACTTTCAACTACCGCACCCCAACCTTAAAAGTCACAGGAAACCTGTCCAGCAGCACATTTTAGAAATGAATCCACTTTACTGGAACAATGATTAACCTGAGGAGTCAACAACCAGCCGAACTGAAAATACTGCAGCCTCTCAGACCAGGGGATACTGTATCATATAGGGTAAGGATATGGGCTATTTAAAAATAATAAAAAACAAAGCAGATCACTCCCAACAATGTAACTGATCACGTATTCATAACAGCATCAATGAGAATAATTTTTACAAAGCATATAATGTTTTTTAATGCCACTGTCTGAGATAAAAAAAAATCAAGCAATTGTCTCGACCTTTGAACTAACGTTACTGTTTTGCACTCATAACAGAAGTATTCAGTACTTTTACAAAACACAAAACGTTGATTGACACCACTCTGTCCTGCCGAGTGGATGCTTCACTGGCACTACCGGAGGTTCTTTCTACAGGCTTTTTCACATTTCTTAGCACATGCTTCAATACAAAATTGTTCGCAGTTGAAAGCTTTTTGCTGGTGTCACACCGTTTACGGAAGACCATGTTCTTTGCATCTCTGAGTGTGACACAGATAAGTTAGCCAAATGACAGTACTTACAGGTGTGGAAAGAACTCATCTCTACTTCGTTCTTCCTTTAGCTTTTTGGACAGCAGCTGTTATATTAATATTAATATATATATATATATATATATATATATATATATATATATATATATATATATATATATATATATATATATATATATATAATATTAATATTAACTCTGAAATGGCAGTTTATTATTAAGTCAACAGCAATTTGTGAAATGTGTAATCTAAATTGATTACAGTGGTTGACTACAGTCTTCTGACAGGCAACCAAAGCGCTTTTGCCCCCTGGCTGCGTGCGCATCCAGTAGTGTTTGTATACAAGAAACCCGTCTATACAGGGTCTGAAATTAACTTTTTTCACTGCCTGCCCCTGTAGCAGGCAAGTAGTTTTTTCTGCCACTCAAATTTTATCAGCCACTTTTGAAATGTATGCCCTAAATGAAGGAATAACATTCAGCTTATTTAGGCATCATTTAATGTGAATGTTGTCATTGAGTGTTCAATACACAAATATGTGTTAGCTCCCGTACGCCGGCTGGTGCACTGCTGGCAGACTGTCACTCAGGATGGACTGTACCTCTTCCACTGGTGAGCTTGGTTTGAAACGCTGCCATTGATATTCCCTGAGCTGACTGGTGGTTGTGTGTGAGGCAGGCATGTACGCTGATTGCCACAATACACTAACCTACGTGTGTCTACATTTGTTTCTCTGTCTGCCAAAGTGGTGGATTGCCTGACGATTTTACCCACCACTGCCAACAACTCACCCGCATTTGGCGGGTGCTAATTTCAGACCCTGGCAGTATATAAAGGGGTGGTGATGGTGCAGTGGATAAGACACATGCCTTTGGTGTGAGACACCCGGGTTAAATTCCCCATGTGAGACATCCACCATTGTGTCCCTGAACAAGACACTTAACCTCTAGTTGACCCAGAGGCATGCGACGTCTGACGTGCTGAGCAAATGTATGTCGCTTTGGATAAAAGCGTCAGTTAATGAAAAAATGTAAATGTAAATAATGGATGGATTTAAACACTCAGAATTCAGACACTCCCCACACAGAGTGCACAGTAATTGGAGTCCACTATATAGTAAATAGGGAGTGATTTCAGACACAGACTTGGCAACCAGTTGCCAGGCACAGTGACTTCCTAGAGTCTCGCTGGTTGCCTGGAGATTCCAGAAACGTTGACAGAGCCAGGGTTGCTGTTTGCCAGATCCATCGTTCTTTACATAAGTCTTGGCAAGAACTTGAATTTCCCAAAATGCTTTATTGGTCAGTAAAAAGAATTTTGAATTCCTTTGGCTAATGTTTATCGTCCTCTAGCATGACCTCAGGAAGGTCTCTCTGAGTTCCAGGGCTACTAAAGAATGTTATAAGTAATATTGTTAATACTGTGCTATATTACAGAGAAATACAAAACCGTGATAATGTTTCTTTAAAATATACATTTTACAAGAGGCACGAAGCGAGCCGCCTGTTAAATGCTAATAGCAAAAGCAGTTATCATTCTGGTAAATCACCTGTGTATTCTCTGTTGTCAAGCTGGCCCCTGTTCACTGGGAGGCTGCTGATTGATTACAGGGCTGAATGTCATAGTGCAAGAACAGGTGTTCGGGGCATGGAGTGGGAATGAAAGAGATTCTCCCAATAAGTCAGTGTACCTTCAAACTGATTATGAAGCTGATCGTGGACATCAGGAGGAGTCCCCCCACTCTGCCTCCATCACCATTCTAAACAGCCCTGTAACTGCTTATGCAACCCTTCAGGTTTCTGGGATCCACTAAAGTGGGAGCCCAACACGGACACCCAGCATAGGAGGTACTTCTTGCGCCAGTTCAGGAAGCTCAACCTGCCTAAAGAGCTGCTCATCCACTTTTACACAGCCATCATCCAGTCTGTCCTCTGCACGTCCATCACTGTCTGGTTTGGATCTGCTACCAAAAAGGACAGGAGCAGATTACAACGGACAGTCAGGACTGCAGAAAAGATCATTGGTGCCAACCTGCCCCCGTTCAGGACATACATCTTGAGAGTCAGGAAACGGGCAGGAAACATCACTGCAGCTCCATCTCACCCCGGACACAACCTGTTCCAGCTTCTCCTCTCTGGTAGGCTACAGAGCACTGTATGCCAAAACCAACAGACTCAGGAACAGTTTCTTCCCACAAGCCATCACTCTGATAAACAGCTAACTTCTGACACAGTTAGGAACAATTCCTTTCCAATAACCCAGTAACTCTGCCTCTAATCAACCACCTGTTTCCTGGTTATCACTTATTATTTATTCATCATTCTCTCGTTCTCTATTTCAGAGCTGTTCATATTGTCATATCCTATATTGTATATACTGTACTGTATACCTCAAGTACATAATACCTGGACATAATACTTATTTATTCCAGCATCCTTTGCACTATGCTCATTGCACTATTGTCTCAAGCTGTCTATACTGTTTTTGTTTACGACTGTATGTGTTTCTCTGTGCTTTCTCCTTGTTTTCTGCCCTAGTTCTGCCTCTGAAGTACTTCAGATGATTGCTGAACAAGGTCCACCTGGCCTTGGAAGGCGGGCTTTAAAAGCTCCTGTGCAAGCGTCAGAAAGGAGGCTTTTGATTTGGGACTGCTGGTCTTGCTGCCTCTCAGCTGGGACATTTTTGTGTTATGTTGTACTTTTTGGTGGTCTTAATTTATCGTCTTGTTATGTTAATAAATTCCCTTGATTTGGTTGTTTTAAAGGTGTTTGTGTGTTAAGTTTGGGTCAGTGTTGGGGTGTTGTTCGCCCCATGTTGCCACCAAAGGGTGGGGCGTAACAATATACGTGTTCTCTATACTGTAGCCTGTGTCTGATTGATTATTGTATAAGTAAGCACATCGTGAGCAATGTACAATCCAGAGTGAAATTCCTCGTATGTGTACACATACCTGGCAATAAAGTGGATTCTAATTCTGATTTGGAGATCAGAAGAGGATGTGCCACCCTGCCCAACATCCACCTGGCTCTCCACCCAACCACTGGCACCTGGGACCTTTTTGATGGAGTCCATCTACACAGAAAGAGGGTGAATATTTTCAACAAAAAAAAAGGGTCCTGGGATGCACTGCTCCCACCCCCTCCTCTAGCTTTAGACCTCCTGCTGGCTTCTATTCAGCTAAGATGTACGTATTCTGAACAAAGGAACATTATCAGCTCACCATATATAAAAGATTGCTAGATTTGCTTGATTAACACTCCATCTTGAGTAAAAATCGAATTGGCTTCCTCCCAAAACACCGACCATGTATATGCCCGTCACACTTTTACATAACAAACATGTGCACCAAAAAAAAAAATCGTAAGATATTCACTTGTTTTAATGATTTCAAGAAAGCTTTCGACTCTATTTGGCATTAAGGGCTCAATTACAGATTTCTGATATAGGGGCAAAATGTTTGATCAGGTTAAAACAGTGTATTTGGAAAAATGTGTGCTGTTAAAATTGGAGACAAACAAAGTGAATTCTTCACCCAGAGAAGAGCTGTTAGTCAGTGTTGCAAGTTTGACTTTATTTAATGTAAAAATTAACTTGCTGGTCAGTTAGATCATTGTGCTGCTTTCGGCCTCTCCCTCTTAGATAGAGAAGTCTCTGTTTTGAACAGATGACTGCTGTCTCCTACTGAGAAAGGACTGCAGTAACAGCTGGACAAAGTAATGTTATAACTGGATCATGGCACTAAGTATGAAGAATACTGATTTTCAAGAAACCAGATGTCAGGAGAACAAATACCAGTTTACCATAAATAATCATATCATTGAACATAGTATGAGTTATACCCACCTTGACATAACCATAACAGCATCAGGGAGTTTGAACATCACAGTAAATGCACTAAAAAAAAAAGATTGAAGAGCTCTAAATGCAGTTAAAGACAGAAAATTGGAATTTCCAAATCCCAATTCAGATCTTTTCAAACACCAACCAAAAGGGACTTTTCATAAATATGGCTTATTACTGATCTATATAACATCACCAAGTCAGTAGGAAGGATAATATTTTTAAACACTGACATTGGCTCTGTTTGAAACAGAAAGCAGTTGCCTCACTGCCTCGCTACCGTTATAGACAGGTGCCTCAGAAGGCATCACTTTCTAGTGAAGGCATCTCTGTGAGCATTGCTTTTGAACAGTCTTTTGGGCAGCATTTACAGCAACGAGTGACATCAGCCTGCCGTCTTGCATTTCTTCTGGCTTTCATGCAGTCACTAGCTTTAGCGTCAGCTAGCTAGCTATTGAACAAGCAAATGGCTATCAGACGCTTCAGAAATCATACTAAACAAACTTGGTTGGTTACAGTGACAGGCTAGTATGATAGTTCAGTGTTTAGTTCTCGCTAACTTTTTAAAAATCAAAGCGAAAAAACTACTAAAAACTTTAAAAAACTTATATTTGTAGAATTTACCAACTCAACTTCTCTCTCTGTGCTTTCCCATTCTTTGCATTCTCTCTCTCTCTATGCAGCCACATTTTCACATATAGCTGCAAAAACACACACTCAAGCATGCATGCACACATATTATTAAATTTGAAGCTGATATTGCTTTTAAAGAGAATGTAGTTGCTCCTCAAGCTGAGGATGAGGTTCATCCTGTGGAGATATTTTAATGAGGGAACACTCATCTACATAAGCCAGTTAGCAGGAAGGAATATGTCACCTCATTTCATCCCTCACACTTCCTCTCATTTCTCACTCTTTCCCTCAATCTTTGTCAAAGCTTATTGACCTCTGAAACTTTAAATGAAAATTCATTAATTCATTATTTTTGCTTTGCTTTGCTATCCATTCCCCTTACACTTCCTCTCCTTCTTCAAGCTATATTCTACCTTTTATCTCTTTAGACAAACCGAACCCTGTTAGACTGTTAGGAGGGTTGGTATTCATTTTGTCTCTGTGTGTTCTTCGTTTATGTGTACTGGACCAGTCTGTCCAGTACATGTTTCTCAAAAAAACGTTCTTATTGGCATAATGTCTTCTTAGCTGCTACTTGACATTTAGTAGCTTAGCCTACATTCAAAATTGAGTTGGGTTTTGTTGTTTTGAGTTTTGAATTGGAGGTTGTGTGAACCTCATGACTTCACCATGAGGACTGGCCTTCTAGAGTGTGGCATGCAGTCACAAGGGCTAACATTAAGCTTGCTGTCAGTTTTTACAAGAATGACATGCAATCAGCTCTTTAAGTGTGTCTAGGCTACAGATACTTTCTAACATAAAGAGTGTGTGTGAAACAAAATAGTGATGAATGAAGGAAAGAAAGTGAAGGCTATGGCAAGCTGTTTTATTAGCTTGACTTAATATCTATTACTGGTATTTCCAATGTCATTTTGCCTAGTCAAAGCTCTAATTAATTTTAACTAATTGACCTTTCGCTAAGCCCCGCCCCCCTTAGTTACTGTTGCTAAGTCCGACAAACTGTTGGCACTACCACTGTCTATTACTGCACTCCCTGGAGAAATATTGTCTAATTTGTTAGAAAAAGCGATCTGAGAAAGAAGCAGACAGTTTGCAGTTGAATTATACATTTGAAGGTTGTATTCAGGCTGTCAAACTGACTCAAACTGACTGAAATGGACGTGAAAAAAATGAAAGATAGAAGCTAAAGCCTACCAATCACACAGTACAAGTGAGCCACCACATCCCCCAACGATTGAGACAAAAGACAACGATATGAACGATCAACTGTTCCTGTATAGCTGGGTAGGCCTAGAATAAATCATCATTCTCCTTTCAACCTTTCTGGGTAGCTGCTGTGACTATTACAAGTGCCCCAGGAACAGTGTTTGACCAGATCTTAGGAAAATACAGCCAAAAAAAGCTAGAAAACGACTCCTTTTACATTAGAGTCAATGGAGCGCAGCCATGGAAATGTCGTACCTCAGTTAGAGAAGGTGCTATACTGCGCTGTGATTGGCCAGATGTGTATGCAGCTAACTACTGTTATCGGCAGCTACCAGTGCTACTATGTTAGCTTTTCAGTTAGCTGTGCAGCTTGCTTTCCTATTTCTGATTCTGCCAGGACTGGAAGCTTGGTGCTCCAGGGGTGTGTTGGTGTTTTCACCTCTAACATTAGTACGGAAGCATTGGAGACACCGCACTACACAGCCTATAGCTCTGGCTCTATGAGCTCCTATGACCAATAACTCTGGAACATGGGCTGGTCTATGTAGCTTTGGGGTATTTTATAGGCATTTAAATATGAAGGAGGAAACAATAGAGTATGAGGCTCACGGTATGTCAGTTACATGCACTGAAGTCTGTGCCAATGTAAATACAGTTTTCCATTCTACCGCCCCTTTAACTATTCAGAATGACATTTTAGATGTCTTAAACTGGAATTATGACTAGTAAAAATGTAATTACAAATATCTTGAATTAGAGTTTTTACTAGGCAAAATTACATTGCAGATACTACGTTACTTCAGAAGGAGGCGGGAGCAAAAAGCCGACAATGGAAGTAGCTAACGAGTCTTTCTCATCTCTGTTGAGTTCATTTCTACCACAACTCTCTTGTAAACAAATGAAGCTCTCATTTGCCAAAACTTCTTTGATAAATATAACTATTATTTGGAATAATCTGCTGCTTTAAGACTGAATGGCCAATCACTGGCCAGTAGGGGACGCATCTGCTGTTTTCCGCATGGCAATATGGAAGAGAGAGGCCAGCTTACCAGCAGCATGGAGAATAGCCAGCAGAAAGAGAACTCAAAGCATGCCAACAAGACCACCACATCCTCCTAGGCACATGCAAGGCAGCAGTGACATGCACTCCTCCACCCGTGTAGCAAAGGCCTGTATGTTGACCAACCAGAATACAACTGCAAAGTTTTCTGAAGATCAGCAAGGTCATCATAAGGAACGGTGACTGGTCAATGGAGGCATAGGCTGTCCTAGATGATGGATCATAGCAGACCATTCTTCTTCATACCGCAGCAAAGAAGTTAGGTCTGAAAGGCAAGCCAGAAGAGTTGGCCCTCTGTTGGAGCTGCAGGTGCTTTATGGAGCAGCCGTTTCCTTCACCATATCCTGTGTAGGAGCCATACTGCCTGTTTTCCTCCAAGCCACAGGGGGCATGATATTGTGTTGTGTTGTAAGTCCAATGCTGGCCTCAGGTAGTTTAAGTTCCTGTATTGTTGCAAACAGGTGATTGTTATTTGAAGAAGAGGAGCAAACAGTAGTTAACTGTGCTTGGATTATTGTGCTCAGATTATGTTGTTTATTCTACTTTATATGACGTATTATTTATAAATTATAGGAAAAGACTGGGCATCGTTTTTCAGGGTACACGTTAGAAACAATAAATCAATTAGCAACCAGTAGCGGCTGACAATAGGGCATAGTCACTACATCCTGTGTGGCCGAAACAAAGAGAAAGTTAAAGATCCAGCCAAGCCTGCATTGACAACCAAGCAGCTGGGGCTGGCCGAGCACACCCATCCCGTCAATATACTGCAGCAGAAGTACAGACACTTAGCCAGGTTGCCTCTTCAGATGCTGGACAGAGTTCGACCAGTACTCTTCATTGGCTATCATTGCACACACCTCATAACACCCATACAGCCTGTACGAGTGGGCCCTCCTGGTGGGTCAGCAGCAGTAATGTATACCAGGAATGGACTCTACAAGGCCCAGCTCAAGACATGAAGCACAGCATCAATGCTTCACAGTGCCTCTTCATGTCCACATCATTTCCTATAGGCTTGTTCTTTCATGTGGAGAAATTGTGGCAGATGTAAACGCTTCCTTATTACAGTTGGCCATGAGATCATGCCAAGACAAGGAAGCTGTTCACCTCCTTCAAGAGCA